CCATGTCTTTATACGTCCAAATATGTTTCAACCTATTAAACCTAATATGGTAATATTACCTAATGGATTTGATTAAGTTGCCAGGAAACCCAGGGGGCAGTATCACCCAAACATTTGAAAATTGACGAAAAAATTTGCCACAAAAAACTATTATACATACACACATAATTTTTTTACCATAAGGGGTCATCCATTTATGACGTCCACACATTTTTGGGATTTTGGACCCCCCCCCCCACCCCTGTCCACAAACGTCCACTTTTGACGGACCCCCCCGGTGGACGTCCACACTGACTATAAGTTTTTGTATAATCTTCTTCCACTATTACTCAAACTACTGCATTAAGTGTGTATATACTCTGAGTGTATATAATATTACAAATACCGGTACAAATATGTTTTATTGATCTTCGTGTCTAGATTTACAATAAAAAGTTGATATTTCAATTTGGAAGGATAAGCCTTTTCATACGAATCATTTAATTTAGCATATTTCGCGGTGTTTTGACTAGCCATTATTTCGCACACTTGTAGTCGCATTGACACTGTTATATTACTGAGTTCAACGTTGATGCTAGTGTGTATTAACCCCACGCCCCCTCCTTTCGCACACCTGAACAGGGAAAGCGTGCCCCCACTCCACCCCTCTCCCGTCTCACAACTGAACTGGGATGACCTCGCCTACCTAGAGAAGTGCAGGCTAGGGGCAATGCAGGTCGCCTGGTCTTTGACCTGGGATGCAAATGTAGGGAAACACGTAATTGGATCCTATTGTATTCGAGGTTAAGCCAGGGCATAGACCCAAGCTGGGTGGTGGGCCAGAGGGATAGGACAGTTGAACTTTAGCTTCGCTAGGAAATATTTTTCTTTCACACTACCAAAAATAATGTTAGATTTAATGTGTGGACGTCCACATTGGGCCAACCCCCCCTCCCCCTGTCCACACGCGTCCACAAAAGTCAATTTTTTTCGGACCCCCCCCCCCCCCCCGGGTGGACGTCATAAACGGATGACCCCTAATAGTAAATATCAAGGAGCTTTAAAACAGCACATAAAAGAAAGTTAACGTTTGATGCAAACATTTTTTAAAATAATTTTAACAACAAATTTTTACTCATTTTTGGCTGCGGTTTTCCAACATTTAGGCCCTTCTTGCTGAAAATACTCTAGGAGATGCATAACTGGGTAGCCTATATCCGGAACTAGAAGATATTCATTGTGACACATTTTGAAATTTTTAGAATTTTTCAAAGTCAGACTAAAATAATCAAAATAAGAAAAAGAATTTATCTCACATTAGAATGCTATGATTTTAGCTCCGAATGCAGACATTTACGCAAGGACAATTTATACCAAATTTTAAGTACTTTACTTATGGTTTTGGAAAATTGTTTACAAAAGAATTTAAAATGTAATTAAATATTAACAAAATAATTTTTTGAAAATGTGTTGCTATGCGTATACTCAACAATATATATACTGTATTATTGCATAAAAAAAGTTACTACTGCTGTAAAATGTTGACATAATGTGTATGTCGAATATTTATTTTTTGGTGAATGTTTTTGTTTCCCTCCCTTAGTCTGGACGATACTGCCCAGTCTCAGGAAACCCATTCTCTGTGACACCAAATGCAAAGGTGCGATTACTTTCAAAGCTATTTCAGCCCGTTGCACGTAGATTAAATGATATTATTGCATTAAATTTTGAGATAAACTTTTCTTGTTAGAATGTGGCTGTGACCCTCTTCACGATTGATTTTTTATATTAATGTGGTATTGTTATAGTTAAACAGTACATTTATTTATTTAATAGTGACTTTATGTTTTCTTATAGGCATGAAAATCATATATATTCTGTTTTGTTTCTGTCCATATTCATCAAAACAATTTCCGTCTCCCTCTCATTCTCCGTCCCCTATACTTAATGTTTGATTGTCAAAAATAGCTGCCCTGTTAAACAACATACATATTATGTAAGCACCATACTATCTGTCTGTCTATAAGTTGTCCATATCCGTGTCATAGACTAAATAGCTTTCATTTAGACGACAAATTTAGCAAAGTTTTGTCGACTTGTAATAAACCGGATAATTCTTTGTTAAATGTTATGTGTTTAGATTGTCCGCGTTTGAGACACATTGTTAAAAGACAGTAAAGTAAACATTAATATTTATTTACATCGATTAGATAGTTGAAGTTCAAACGTTTCTTGACATAATGTGGTCATCACTATGCCCAGCCGCCTTTAATTTCCCAACGTAAGATAGGTACCCATCAGGGCTGGGTGGATTGAAGGACGTGCTGTGATCGTAGGTCCGACAAGAGATTTAAACTTGAAATAATTTGACGCTCCTAGTTATTAAATCTTACACGTAGAACGTTTGCAAATTGGGAAAATCCTTAAAGTGTTATAAATAGTTATGCCCATTCTGTATTTAAGTGTTGCAATCTTTGTTAGCATTACATAAGCCTACCCTCTAAATTATAATCTACACACTTTTTAGTGTAGAAAACCCTGAATGTTAGAGAAAACTTTATCTTAAAAAGTTCTACACATACACTCTATATATCACCTATACTCTTTGATTAAGTGTACCACTAACCCAAATAAATAGCACGAGAAATAATCAACACTACAATCGTGTGTCAGCTTGCTGTGGAAAACAATTTAGCTCATGTTTAAAGTAATTTAATTACACCCTCCGTTTTTTTAGTCTAGGTCCGCTGGTCGGACAATAATCCAAATCCGATTAAAATAAGCAGCTCTGCTTATAATTGTGTTATAATGAGAAGGTAAAATGGTCCTATGATTGTTAGAATCACCACCACTCCTTGAGAAGGTCAAATGGTCCTATGATTGTTAGAATCACCACCACTCCTTGAGAAGGTCAAATGGTCCTATGATTGTTAGAATCACCACCACTCCTTGAGAAGGTCAAATGGTCCTATGATTGTTAGAATCACCACCACTCCTTGAGAAGGTCAAATGGTCCTATGATTGTTAGAATCACCACCACTCCTTGAGAAGGTCAAATGGTCCTATGATTGTTAGAATCACCACCACTCCTTCAGAGGGTGAAGCACACTGATGCAGCGTAGCACTAACCAGACTTTTCTTAAGTGTCGAAATTCGGCGTAGTTAACAGGATTGACCACTACGCGTACTTAAAACAACTAATATAAATCCCCTACATTAAATTATAGCATACACACTGTCAGAAACATAACATTACAACAATAGAAAGCAAAGTATTATTATAATGTGTGCTGATGTAACGGGGTTTGACAGTTCGGTAATACGTAAAGAGTGTAATAGATAATCCCATTTATAAAGTGCAGGTTGTACCAACAAGTCATGTACGCATAACGAAATATATATTTAAAAATATATCGTTCGGATATTTCTGTCCAGACACGCTTTATATTTATGTTAATCAAAACGCCGGCGATTTCTATTGGTTGGTGTAAACATGTCATCAAACCAATATTAAATAATGTTTACACGTATGTATAATCTATGTCGTATACGTGGCAACAAATAATGTCGGTGGTAATTAAATTTAGGAGTGTAGAAGCTACTTCAAGTTAAAACTTGAAGATAATATATATATACATATATATATATATATATATATATATATATATATATATATATATATATATATATATATATATATATATATATATATATATATATATATACATATATACATATATATATATATATATATATATATATATATATATATATACATATATATATATATATATATATATATATATATATATATATATATATATATATATATAATTTATTTGATACTACTGAAAATGTTTATGCATTATCAAACCTTTGAGAGGAGACATGTAGTGATGTATAATCTTTTTGTGTGGTTAGGAATATACAAGACCCCTCTGTCAATTTGACCCGTCGTCCTCCCTCTCTCAATATCCCCCTCCCCCGGAACAGTTTTCGTAACCGTAATACTATTTCTAACCCTTGCTCAAACGTTTTGATCTAGGATATTACCCGCCCCCTCCATTAATTCCCATCGAAATCCCCCCCCCCTACACACCCCAGAGCAAAAACCCAATTGTCAATTGCCCCCAGAGTGATATCCCTTCTTTTAGAAGCTCACGAAACCTGACCCTAAATCTAAACTGTTTATCATTTATGCATCATAGTTTAAAAGAAAATATGTTGTGTAGGCTATATAAGCTTCAACTAAAGTTACATTAAATCCATGGTGTTAACGTTTATAATGTGTTAGTGTGTATGTTACCGCATTCGAGAGTAGTGTTATTAGTCTTTCCGGGTTTTTCTTTACCTTGCCTAAATATTAATATTAATACTAAATGTTGATTACATTTTATAATTGTGTCTTATTATTGCGAATTCATGGCCTTACTTTCCTGACATCCAGCTAAACATGGAGATTCTCAGATTTATCTATTCAAAGATGTACCTCCAGCTGTCGTTTATGATTCGTTGGACAGCTCTTAGAAATCAATGTAACTACTTATAATAATCATTCCAGTAAGCAGTCCATGGAACTGCGTTTTATGACTTAATTCTCTATTGTTAAAACTACTCATGCTGCTTTATAAATCTACTTAAAGTTAGGTTTTTATGTTATGATTTAAACCCATTGTCAGTTTGCTAATATGTGACCTATCGTTTTATATCTTTTCGATTTTATATTCACCCTGTATGAATAAACTAGGAAGCTTGCTTGCCATGGATGAGATTTTCTTAAAGAATACTTGTGAAGAATCATGCTATAAAATATATCTTTACTTAATTTAAATGAATACAATACTATAACACAATGGCAAGGATTTCGGCTGGTCACAGCAATCGATGTTTTTTAGTTTGCCAGCCGAAAATTCTTTTGATATTTTAAATGTATATTGCTAGAAAATGTATTGCCTTTAATATATTTAATTACTTAGATGTGATTTCACATCTTTATACATATTCCAATGCAAAGTCCGGAAGAAAATAAACATTTTTATTTCAGTTCTATTTTGTTTGTTTTGGACCGTGTTTGCCACATTAAGCATAACCGTGATCAATTTTTAACACGTTGAAAAATTCAAATAATTTTGAAAAACAAAAAAAAAATGTCTATTGAAATTTGTTTATTTTATACTGGATGTCTTCTTTTGATTCATTTCTTCCTGTAGTGAAAACAGAGACATAATTAACATGATGAACATAATGGTACTACCAAGCAAATTCTTTCATTTAGTATTATTAATAAATACATATACATATATATACATATATACATATATATATATATATATATATATATATATATATATATATATATATATATATATATATATATATATATATATATATATATATATATATATATATATATATATATATATATTTATATTTATATTTATATTATATATATATATATATATATATATATATATATATATATATATATATATATATATATATATATAATTAACATTAAGGATATAGAAATTAATCAGCTGGTTACAAAACCTGTATTGCATTTTAAACTGATGAATATACGATATTTGTAGAAAAATAGATACGTCAAAACGGTTTCATTATTTTTAGCTCCTAATTTTACGTCTTTTTATTAAAGTTGATTTTAACTTCAATATTATTAATCGGATATTATGTGAAATTTGCAGTGATGAAGAGCGTTTTCTAAAACTATAAATATTGTATGCCTTTATGTTATCTATTGCAATAAAAAGAAGCGTATGCAGTTCTGAGTGTCCTAGCATGCAAGAAAATGTAACCAAGATAAATGCTTAAAAAACAACCTATCATGTACGAATCAAATAAAAATTAGAAAATACATGATTTAGTTTTTAAAAAAATATAATAATTAAATGCTTAATAAATAACTAAGAAAAAGAGCCCTGATCGCTCTAATATGTGTTGAATACCTTTACATGATATTAAGAAGCAACCTGTTTAATAAAAAAACCAATAAGCAACGAAAAAAATGTATACAGAAATAAAAAGAAAGTTTAAACTAAAAAAAAAAAACTCATAAAAGCAATCTTTTAAAAGAATGTTTTCTTGATCATACTTTTTGTATCCAGGTACTGGCTTGCATAATTTTTTGCCGCCTCTAGTGTTATCGCTGAAATTTAGAGATAAATGGTTAATGATCATATAGATTTACATTTAAAACAGGTTTTTACGTTAAGTTTAACATATATTTTCTATTGCCTGTTTAGGTATGGCACGTTTGGCTCTAATAGTCTAGCTGTCTGTAATTAAGTCTTGTTAATGGAATATTTTAAGAGAGCCTAATTGATAGACGGACAATGCGTCAATGATGACTTTTATTGTTATACAATTGATGCCTCATATGATGTTTGACTTGGCTGAACTATTTTCATTAATTTCTCGACGGTTTAGACATCTTAAATGCTCTGCCAATTATTTTTTTTATATTCTTTAAGTAAGTTGCCGCTTTTAAATATATGAGATGTTAAGAAGCTACTTTTTTTCCTTTTGTGCAAGGATTGTTTCATTTTTGTAAAAGTTTAGTTGCACTGATTACACATTACAAAAAAAAATACTCTAAGATCGATAAAGGCAGTTTAGAGTTTTAATTAGATATGCATTTTAAGTTTACGTAAATTTAATATTAAAAAAATATTATTATTTTATTGTACGTAAATTTGAGAATAATAAAAAACCAACACTTCGCAATTATAGTGTGCGCAGCAATCGCTCCCACTACTGCAATCACCATTCCACGTATGACAACAGCTGTTTTGATAAAAGAAAACATGAAGTGTGAAATGTTTTAGTTGTATAACCAGAATACAATACTTCTTTGGAAATATTTATGTTTGATTATACACGATTGTACCATCCGTTGCTGACATGATGATTTAATCAAGTTATTTTTACATGTAAATGTTTAATATTTTTCACAATTATTAAATCAAGAGAATAATTTTATATTTTTATGTAAACAAAATGCATCAAAATAAGGTACTTTGATATAACTTTGAAAATTTTGTTTTAAATGATTGTGTAAAATATCATGTATGAGATAACTTACCTTTCCGATACACTTACAAGACTCGCGAGACATACAAGAAGAATGAGAACTACAGTCTTCATTTCAATGAGCTGCAAGAAACTTAAAAAATAGTATTTACTTGTGACATTTTTTAAACAAATTCTAATAGTTCTTGATTTTTAACCTGATACTTTTTATTCCTAAAAACATATATCATATACCGAAATAATTTCACATTATCTCTAAAACTTTGAATACATTCATTACACATTTTAATTTTAAATTACTTTCACGTTATTTATAAAAATGATATGAAACCTAAACACGAATTATAGAAAAGTAATTGCTAAAATAAAATCAAACTATACATTTCAAAGTTAAAATACAGACTAGAGTTTAACTGCTTTCAAGAAAATCGTTTAAGATATATAGTTGGGATGTTCCTGTGCAGACACGCTTTATATTTATGTTAATCAAAACGTGGGGGATTTCTATTGGTTGGTGTAAACAAGCTTAGTCATCAATCAACATTCTATTTTTGTATACGTGGCAACAAAGAATGTAGGTGGGAATGAAATTTAGGAGCATAGATGCTACTTCCGAGATAAAACTTGAAAATAATACTACTAATCAATAGTGTTGGGAGTCAAACTTACTGAGCTGGTTTAATATCCGTATCACAATATTTATTGAATTTTCAGTTAAGAATTGTAATTGGGCGTGAGAAAGCTGGAAATGCAGACTAACATTGAACAAATATAAATATCCATGTGAATATTATGTCTTTATAGAGCAGACGATAAATACTGTTAGCACTTGTTTGCTTTCAGGGGTAAAAAGAAAAATAAAGAATTTCAAATCACTCTATGTAGGAAATATTAATAACATACATTAGCACGTATAAGCGGCGAAAAACAACCCGTCCGTCCTCTTAGGTGTCATCCTATATGAGGCACACAAAAAGTTGGATTTCCACAAGTGTCTATTTACAGAACGCCATACCTGGACTGTACACCCGATATTAACGTTCACAAAAAGCAAAGACCTATAAGTGTTTTTAAAAGTTTACATCTATGAGTGTCCACACCGGATTCGTGTCATTTATTTCTGTCTAGGCCTAATTTAGGCCTAAATGTCGGTTACATAATATCTATCTATATACTTATAAAACCGAAGTTTGTTTACATGTTTGAATATTTATTTGTTTGTTTTTTTTTGTTTGTCCGTTTCGTTACAGGAGAGAATCTGCACTATATGTAGAGCTGTACAATACGTAATTAGGTGGAGAACTATTATCTTTTTTTAACAAACTGTTCATCACAAATTAATTTAAAGACGTTAATTAATTAATTGATTTATTCAATAGTAGATTAACCCCATTAATCATGAACTTTCAGAGCAATGAGTTTACTTATAGTGACGTCACATGATTTATTTGCTTTTTACAAAAATAAACATATAAACTCTAATTCAACTTCCAAAATGGTTCTATAAGCCCTCATTCAAAAGTTTAAGGCATTTAAATATACGTCTGATAACGTTCCAACACTTATATCAATTTTCAACAGTCCTTTTCATTAAAGTTAAAGTATACAATACATTTCTCTAGATCTAGAATCTAAAGATCAGATGTCGAGGGAAAATAGAGATATAGAATTTAGGTAAAACCAAAATTAAAATTTAAAACCATTACAAAATCACAACAAATTATTGAGTTTCTTTATTAAACCATTTTAGTCCTTAAATATATGATATAAATCTTTGCTTTTTAGCTTCAAGAATCATCTTATTCAAGAATACAAGTGATTTATCTAAGACATTCTAGGAATCTAGGTCCTAGACATAGAATTTGATAGAACTACGAGAAAACTCGACTTAACCAAACCAGTCGTATAATCTAGATAACTCTATCTAGATATAGATAATAATGAGTTTATATACTAAACTATTTCAGACCTTCATTATTGTATGTAAATCTTTGTTTAGCTATGGAATTGGCTAATTTAAGATACAATTTTATTTGAAACGAGCCGACCCATGGCGTATCATACGCCGTTATATTAATTGTTTTATTTTCTACTTTTCAGTAATTCATAATTTGTGAATTCGACAGTACCAATGCTGCCACTGAAAATATTTGCTTTAAAACACTATCAGTAGGTCGTTAAGGACGATACTACCCCCACCCTCCTTTCACCCAACCCCTACCCTACACCCCCCCCCCCGCGAAAGCAGCCTCCGCTTAGTTACCTTAAAATCGTTCCAAACTAAATTATCTGCCCCTAATAGCCGTCACTAAACCTGGCTCTACGATTGTAAACATTTAGCGCGAACCAAAGCTCACCAGACCATGTAAGGGTGGGGTGGTAGGGAGCGCGCTTACGGCCTGTTTTCTAGCGTCTCCAAGAAGAGAAATATATAGATAATACTAGAACTAGGTCCTATTCGCGTTAATTAAGTTTATTAAGCAGACTCTAAATATTAATATAGAGCGCACAAAAAGTTCATTGACGCGAAGAGTCTAGATAGCTAAGGTGTTAGTGTAATAGACTTCCATGCTGGTGGCACGAGTTCTAGATTCATCATGTCAATATTAATTTTTTTTTGTTTCAATGTTTTAGATGTGAATTATAAAGTTGCCTATCTGAACTTGGCGTGATAGAGGGTAGGTGAAGTAGAGTTCACCTGTTTCTTTGTCCTCAGCATATGAAGTGAATAGTGTGGTCAGAGTCATGCTCGGCCAAAATCTGTGTTTTCAAATACAAAAACTTGTCTTAGTTGTTGGGGCCACTGGGCAGGTGAAGTTGAGCTGACCTATTTTTATGACCTCAGCATATGAAGAGATTGTTTTGTAGAGGGTAGGTGAAGTAGAGTTCACCTGTTTCTTTGTCCTCAGCATATGAAGTGGATAGTGTGGTCAGAGTCATGCTCGGCCAAAATCTGTGTTTTCAAATACAAAAACTTGTCTTAGTTGTTGGGGCCACTGGGCAGGTGAAGTTGAGCTGACCTATTTTTATGACCTCAGCATATGAAGAGATTGTTTTGTAGAGGGTAGGTGAAGTAGAGTTCACCTGTTTCTTTGTCCTCAGCATATGAAGTGGATAGTGTGGTCAGAGTCATGCTCGGCCAAAATCTGTGTTTTCAAATACAAAAACTTAGTTGTTGGGGCCACTGGGCAGGTGAAGTTGAGCTGACCTATTTTTATGACCTCAGCATATGAAGAGATTGTTTTGTCAGACCCATGTTCAGCTGAAATCGGTGTTCTTAAAAGACAAAAACGTCTGAGGTGTGACGTCTTTTTGATTGTGTGGTCTTGTTTTTTTTGACGATAAGTGACAGACACAGACGTGATGGTTTTTTTTTATGGATGACCCCTATACCCTTATTTATGCAAGGGATGACGGGTAGTCTAGTAGGGCCTGAATATATACCGGTGTGACCTACTTAGGTCTGGTAATGTTTATTTTTACATTTTTCTTTAATACCATATATGGTCTGTGGTGCAATGACCGGTTTTTTCCGCTGTCTTACTAAGAGAGTCTTAGACTCAGAAATTTTCCATCAAGATATGATTGATTGATTCAGACCAGATGACCACCCCACCCAATGGCCTTATGATTTGAAGGTGACCTTCCATGTGACCTAAGTCTATAAATAGACTGCGCACAGGCGTCTCTAGGCAGTTCATTGATCAGACGTCGTTGAGAGACATAAGCCCTGTGTGTTGCCGTTTAGTACTAAGTTGTTTAAGTAGCATACTCTTATATTCTTATATTACTTGTGGTTAAGTAATTCTTTATGCTTATAGCAGCGTTGTGTAAACTGTGGTGATTTTTCTGAAGTGTTAAAAGCTGTGATAGTGTATCATATTATTTTTCCCACGAATTGTAAGTTGGGTTTTGTTCATTCTGTAAATCTATTTTATTCCTGTATAAATCTAGTGTTCTGCCACGACTTTGTACACTCATTACAAGTTATATGCAGATTAAATGTATTGTTGGCATAAGTAGTTTCTCTAGTGTTTCCGCTAGACATCAATTACGAGTCCTAGCGAACTAGTGTGTTAACTTTCTTTTATTTAGGCTTGTCGCCATCTGTGCATAATCAGTTAAACGAATCCGGGAGCGTTCGCCATCTATCTGGCTGATAGTTTGGTGTCCGTTACACCGGAACTGTCGTATTTGCTTTTAGGCCTACATTGTTTATGCATATTTGCTTTTGTTGTAAACAATACATAGTTTGATTCATTGAATGTGATGTCCACATAGTCCTCCCCAGCTCCACCCATACACCGTCCCGCGCGTATCAACAAGTGTCTAAAGTTTTATTTTCATAAGTTGATGATTTCTTACATTCTTACGATAAATCTTAGACGCCAAGGAAATTACAAGCTAATTAATTAGCCTAATGGTTTGTGGCCTATTTTGATTTTTTTTTTAAATTAAAAGCTAAGAGTTTACAATAGTGGGTAGAACGCACGACATCTGACCTAAAATTCCTGACCTCTAACCCGATGCTCAGACCAGAGAACACCCAACACAGAAGGGTACATAGATCAATCTTATATTTTTTTAAAACTACTAAAGGAGGTTAGGCATAAATATAAAACAGATCAGAATGCCTCATTTGCTGAGAACAACTAATGATGTGAACTCTACCTAATATTCATTATGCTCAACAGGTCAGAATGTGCAACTAAAAATTAATCTAAGGAGTTTTAATCTAAATAACTAGATCTAGATATCGTTTGCATACAAAAATGAATATCCGAAACATCACTTCTAATAACAAAAATATACAGCATCTTTCATACCTTTCTTAGCGCGTAAGCAAAGACGGTCAGTCAGTTTTTTATTGATTGCTAAGGCTAGTCAACAATGTTGCTTGTCTGGATGCTTGAAAATGAGACCTAATTCAGAATGTATACCATACGCCTAACATTTTTATAATTTTAAAGTTTGATACCACCGCACAACATGATATGACGCTATCTAGTAAAATAGCTTTCAAGTGCTGTGCATTTTTCAAAAGACGTCAATCATAGATTCATGTGTCAGAATACGACCGCTGTTAGTGATTACAAGCTTTTATTTAACTCACTTCCTCTGTCGTCGCTCTGTCGTCAGTCTAGATCGAAACGCAGGAGTGAAAATTCGGAAACTTCTACTTGACCGATACGATTCACATTTGACACGTGGGTCAAGACATGAAGACAATGCAATCTGAAATTAAATTTGACTTAATTAATTTTTTATGAATTAATTAAAATTTGGACCGAATTAGTAGGCATGTCTAGCCAACCACATCACACGCGTCATCACGTTCAATAGCTGCGCCATCACGCTACTTTCAATAGCTGCGCCATCACGTTCAGTAGGCGCGCAATGGTTTTTAGTCATGTAACTCTATTGTAAATAAAACATGTAAAGTACTGAAAAAAAAAATCATAAAAAACGTTTTAATAACAAGCTTTTATGTAATAATGCACTAAGAA